AAAAACACAAAAAGAAAACGGAACAATGGAGGCTGATGAGGAAGCGGGAAAGAATAACCGCCCCGCGGTTCAACAAGAACTAAACACCATCGGGGGGGGGGGGGGTCCACAGGGCACCAGGACCGCGGCGGGTCTTTATACAGGGGGGTGGGTCAGCATCTTTGTTGGGGGCAGGTGCTCTGGCTGTAATTAAATTATGACTGACTGAACGGTAAAATGTTAAATAAGTAAGACAGATATTTTGTGTTTAGTGTGTAACCTTTAGGCCAGTTGCAATAAATCAATTAATTGCATGATAAATTAAAATTGACCTAATTTTCATTTATCAGTTTTATCCTTTCTTCTTGTCTCTCTCTTTCTACTGAAGACACTGGATGACAAAAGGCTCAACTCCGGTGCTCTTCAATGACCCCTCCTTCTCTTCTCTTTAAAATCCATTTTAACTGGCCAAAATCATGGTTTGGGGCGGTTAAAAGCAGCTAAGCTGAGAAGATAAGCTAAGAGCTAAGCTAACAGGCCGACCTCGGGGAAAAACCTCCCGCTTGTCGAAGCTCCAAAGTTCACAGTTGAAACCTGTGCCTTCATGTAAATTTTTCTCTGCAAAAAGAAGCTGAGAACTTCTTTACTGATATTTTTTATTAAAAGCTTTGTGTTAAAAATGCTGTGCTAAAGAGCTCAGACACCGAGCGTTTGCCATTTTGAGAACTGAAAAACAGGAATGAGAGACAGCCCATGTCAAGTCAAGGAGCCTCCCTCCCATTTTTCTTAAAGAGACACGCTTCACTATCCATCCTTCAGTTCAGTCTTATACTGCCATCCTGTGGTCAAAAAAGGTACTACAATAAAACAAATTTACCAACATTTCTTATTAAATTTGACAATTACTAATTATTGTCAAATTTCAAACTATTATCGTTTATCGCAATAATTTAAGACAATTAATCGCCCAGCAAAATTTGTTATCGTGACAGGCCTAGTAACCTTGTGCTTTTACTCAGACCTGAAGTGTAATAATAAAAAGCAAGTGTTTTTTTTTAACTGAGCAGTCTTTTATAGAAATAACTCAACACACCGTCAGATTTCCACAAGGCTGTATTTTTTTGTATTTCCATTACATGACAGTCATTAGGGAGACATCTCTGGAATGCTTATTCAGTAAACATTTACAATATATATATATATAATTTTTCAGTACAAGTCCTTCATATAAAAGTCCCTTTAATCCCATTAGTGGAAAAACAAACTGAATAGAAATAAATTGATGAACAAAATAAGTCTGCCATGCCGATTCCTCTTTGTCTTATTTAGGCAAAAAGTGCATGATAGCTACTGGGTGTTCCTTGTTAACACTGTTCCATCCAAGATGAAACGTTGAACTTTGGAAGCTTAGTTTTAGTTTTACCTCATCAAGTCTTATGTGTAGAAAACCACATATAACTGGGTTGTTTAAAAATCCCATTAAAATCAGATTGAATCTAACAGATACTAAAAACTTAAGCCACCCATCCCTTTTGAATCCATGAATACATAAAACACCTGAGAACTGACACACAGTTCAGTTTCTACCAGTGTTACCAAGCTGACATGCACCAGGAAACTTGTAACAGTTTGTCTTTCCCTCACTGATGAGAAGCTTAGCCTTACTGATGAGAAATAATGTAACCCGTGTGGCCCAAATGCATTAGTTGAGTCCCTTGAAAATCCCTGTGAACTGTAAACATTGGAAAACCCAACCAACATATGCCCTGACAAAAACCCTTAAGCAAGTTACATGACAATGCAAAAAGTTTCTGATAACATGAAACAGAATTTTAAAAAGTAAGGCCTTACATAAAGGTATTTTTCCCTTTCAAGTGTTTGTATGTGCTGAAGTTTCAATTTGGTCAAAAATAATCATTTCAGATGGCATGCTGTCTTAGTGACAGGCACAAGCAGTAAAATTACACTTTGTGCTACCTAAAACTTTGCATGCACAAGTACAGAAAAACATCTGATTAATGTAAACTTTAGCTGGTAATAAAACAATCAGGGAACCTTTTGTGATATTAATGAGTAAAATATGTTTAACACAACTTGAACAATTGAAAGTAATAAAGCAGAATGAATTCGGTCCATAGCTTACATGTGCTGGTCATAAATTTAGAATATCATGAAAAAGTTGATTTATTTCAGTAATTCCATTCAAAAAGTGAAACTTGTATATTATATTCATTCATTACACACAGACTGATATATTTCAAACGTTTACTTCTTTTAATGTTGATGATAACTGACAACTAATGAAAACCCCAAATTCAGTATCTCAAATTTAGAATATTGTGAAAAGGTTCAATATTGAAGATACCTGGTGTCACACTCTAATCAGCTACTTAACTCAAAACACCTGCAAAGGCCTTTAAAAGGTCTCTGTCTACTTCTGTAGGCTGCACAATAATGGGGAAGACTGCTGACTTGACAGTTGTCCAAAAGACGACCATTGACACCTTGCACAAGGAGGGCAAGACACAAAAGGTCATTGCTAAAGAGGCTGGCTGTTCACAGAGCTCTGTGTCCAAGCACATTAATAGAGGTGAAGGGAAGGAAAAGATGTGGTAGGAAAAAAGTGTACAAGCAATAGATATAAATAATAGTGTACAAGATGTTTGTTCACATCCTGGATAGAATGGAACAATGGTTTGAGAGGGGAGTAAAGGAGGGCATCTTTGTGAAAAGAAACCTTCCATCATTAAACGGAGACAGAGGCCTCCGTGTACAACTGTCCACCCCTTACAATGTCGTTTTTGCTAGTATCACTCAGCCCTCTGTGAATAGCAAACAGCCATCAGGGTGCTAACGATCCATCATTAGGCTGATGGTCCTCCTTGATCATGTGAGCAGCTGGTTTTGGCTGTCAGCAGCAAACTGATTGATCCACTACGAGAATGTGCTATTTATAAGACTGAACTGAATACAGCACCTCAGACAGAAGAAGTCTTTCGGATGAAAGACGAAACGTTTCTACTTTTGTTTGTTTTGTTTTTTGAATGTCCAGAGGACCAGACTTAACTTTTTTATTTTTCTACCTGGATTATTCAGCATGCATCAGGATGTACAAGCAACAGGGATAACGGCACCCTGGAGAGGATTGTGAAACAAAACCCATTACACAATGTGGGAGAGATTCACAAAGAGTGGACTGCAGCTGAAGTCAGTGCTTCACGAACCACCATGCTCAGACGTATGTAAGACATGGATTTCGGCTGTCACATACTTTGTGTCAAGCCACTCTTGAACAAGAGACAGCATCAGAAGTGTCTCGTCTGGGCTAAAGACAAAACAGACTGGACTGCTGCTGAATGGTCCAAAGTTATGTTCTGACGAAAGTAAAATTTTGCATTTCCATTGGAAATCAAGGTCCCAGAATCTGAAGGAAGAGAGGAAAGGCACAGAATCCACGTTGCTTGAGGTCCAATGTCAAGTTTACACAGTCAGTGATGATTTGGAGTGTCATGTCATCTGCTGGTGTTGGTCCACTGTATTTTCGATTTTATGTCTATATTTTTGATTTACTTCATTTTGTATATTGCTTCGTGTGTTGTCTATTGTTCTGTCTGTACAGCACTTTGGTTGGCCTTGTAGCTGTTTTAAGTGCTCTATAAATAAAATGGTATGGTATGGTTTCTGAGGTCCAAGGTCAACGCAGCCGTCTACCAGGAAGTTTTAGAGCACTTCACGGTTCCTGCTGCTGATCAACTTTATGGAGATGCTGATTTCATTTTCCAACAGGACTTGGGTGAAATGTGGGATGGGTGGTGGCCGACGGCGGGGACCCTTGCGGTCTGATCCTCGGCTACAGAAGCTGGCTATTGGGACGTGGAATGTCACCTCTCTGGTAGGGAAGGAGCCTGAGCTGGTCTGTGAGGTTGAGAGATTCTGGCTAGAAATAGTTGGACTCAACACATGGCTCTGGAACCAATTTCCTTGAGTGAGAGGGGTTGGACACTCTTCCACTCTGGAGTTGCCCCTGGTGAGAGGCGCCGAGCAGGAGTGGGCATAATTGTTGCCCCCCATCTTGGTGCCTGTATGTTGGGGTTCACCCCAGTGAAAGAGAGGGTAGCCTCCCTCCGCCTACGTGTGGGGGGACGGGTTCTGACTGTTGTTTGTGCTTATGCACCAAACAGTAGCCGGTTGTGTTGGTTTACTCGACTCTGCAATATTGCGTGGACATTGGGGGCAGTTCCCCTGGATTGGCAGATTGGGGTGGTGGTCACCCTATTCAAAAAGGGGGACCGTAGAGTGTGTTCCAACTACAGGGCGATCACACTCTTAAGCCTCCCTGGCAAGGTCTATTTGGGGGTTCTGGAGAGGAGGGTCCGTTGGATAGTCGAACCTCGGATTCAGGAGGAGCAGTGCGGTTTTCGTCCTGGTCATGGAACAGTGGACCAGCTCTACACCCTAAGCAGGGTCCTGGAGGGTGCGTGGGAGATTGCCCAACCGGTCTACATGTGCTTTGTGGACTTGGAGAAGGCGTTCAACCGCGTCCCTCTGTGAGCCCTGTGGGGGGTACTCTGGGAGTATGGGGTACCAGGCCCTTTGATAAGGCTGTTAGGTTCCTGTACGACCGGTATCAGAGCTTGGTCCGCATTGCCGGCAGTAAGTCGGGCACGTTCCCGGTGAGACTTGGACTTCGCCAAGGTTGCCCTTTGTCACAGATTCTGTTCATAACGGTTATGGACAGAATTTCTAGGCGCAACCAAGGTGTTAAGGGGATCTGTTTTGGTGGCCTTAGGATTGCGTCTCTGTTTTTGCAGATGATGTGGTCCTATTGGCTTCATCAGGTCGTGATCTACAGCTTTTGCTGGAGCAGTTTGCAGCAGAATGGGACGCAGCCGGGATGAGGATCAGTTCCTCCAAATCCGTGGCCATGGTCTTGAGCCGGAAAAGGGTAGATTTCACTCTCCAGGTCAGGAAGGAGGTCCTGCCCCAAGTGGAGGAGTTTAAGTATCTCGGGGTCTTGTTCACGAATGAGGGGAAAATGGAACGTGAGATCGATAGGCGGATAGGTGCAGCATTGGCAGTGAAGCGGGCGCTGTATCGGTTTGTCGTGGTGAAGAGAGAGCCAAGTCAAAAAGCGAAGCTCTAAATTTACCAGTCGATCTACGTTCTTACCCTCATCTATGGTCATGAGCTTTGGGTTGTGACCGAAAGAACGAGATCTCGGATACAAGTGGTCGAAATGAGTTTTCTCCGCAGGGTGTCTGGGCTCTCCGTTAGAGATAGGGTGAAAAGCTCGGTCATCCGGGAGGGACTCAAGAGTAGAGCCGCTGCTTCTCCACATCGAGAGGAGCCAGTTGAGGTGGCTCGGGCATCTGGTTTGGATGCCTCCTGGACGCCTCCCTGGTGAGGTGTTCCGGGCACATCCCACCGGGAGGAGACCCAGATGAAGACCCAAGACACGCTGGAGGGACTATGTTTCTCGGCTGGCCTGGGAACGCCTTGGGATTCCCCTGGAGGAGCTGGACCAAGTGGCTGGGGAGAGGGAAGTCTGGGCCTCTCTACTTGGGCTGCTACCCCCACGACCCGACCCCGGATAAGCGGAAGAGAATGGATGGATGGATGAACAGGACTTGGTACCTGCACACAGTGCCAAAGCTACCAGTACCTGGGTTAAGGACCATGGTATCCCTGTTCTTAATTGGCCAGTAAACTCGCCTGACCTTAACCTCATAGAAAATCTATATGGTACCGTGAAGAGGAAGATGAGATACACCAGACTCAACAATTCAGAAGAGCTGAAGGCCACTATCAGAGCAACCTGGACTCTCATAACACCTGAGCAGTGCCACAGAGACTCATCGACTCCATGCCACGCTGCATTGCTGCAGTAATCCAGGCAAAAGGAGCCCCAACCAAGTATTGAGTGCTGCACATGCTCATACTTTTCATGTTCATACTTTTCAGTTGCCCAACATTTCTAAAAATCTTTTTTTTTTTTTTATTAGTCTTAAGTAATATTCTAATTTTCTGAGATACTGAATTTGGGGTTTTCATTAGTTGTCAGTTATAATCATCAACATTAAAAGAAATTGTTCTAGAATTGCGTCGCTCAAGGTGGCTGCATGTTGGAGCAGCTCTGTTATTTTCATTCTGAGATTTTGCTTTTGAAAACTTTAATTCCTGATTTTCTAGATGTAAATCACATTTTTTGGATGATGGTTTCCTCTGGTATCAGATGCTGTGCAGCTGGTAGGATTTTTACTGAAACTTTTTTTAGTTTTGGACATTTGTTATGATGCGTAACCATGGCAACAAGGCGGTTTTCTACAACCAGCAGCAGCTGCTTAACATCTCAGAAGCTCAAATAATATCTCAGCTACAGCCTCAAATCTCAAATGAGTTGAAAAGGATGTTCTGTGAACGCATTCTCATCTACCTGCCAGCTGTGCTCGAGTGCCTGACCACTGAGATCCTGGAACTAGCAGGAAACACGACTCATGATAGCGGAAGGACAGGATTGTCCCTCGGCACCTACAGTTGGCTGTACGCAGCAACGAGGAGCTCAGCAGACTACTGGCCATCACTTTGGGAGGAGTTCTGCGCAGCATTCGGGCGGTCCTACAGCCCGGGGGAACCAAGAGGCCAGCCGAGTCTGGGTGGATGGATCGGACGGCATCTGCAGCCAGTTTCTTAGGATCCACTGTGGGATGGACCTTTACAAGAGATCCTTCCTGCCTACAGCCATCAGTATCTATAAAATCTCTTAATGAAACGAGGATAATGAGTTACAACAAATAATTTCCCTTTGAGATTAATAAAGTATTTTTGAATTGAATTGAATTAAACATTTGAAATATATCAGTCTGTGTGAAATGAATGAATATAATATACAAGTTTCACTTTTTTAATGGAATTACTGAAACGAATTAACTTTTTCTCCAGCACCTGTAGTTATAATGTACACTGAATGTACATAGAGTAAATAATGTGAGACTATGGGCCTGCTTCTACTCACTTATTATTGAAATAATCTCCAAAAGCCTACGGCTGTGCAGCTTGCTGTATTTTAGCCAAAGCTAGTTTTGAATGTTTTCCTGTCTGTTGTCTGGCAGACAAGTATTGGACAAATACCGTTTAGTTTTTTTAAAAATCAACAAGATTGATTCTGCAAACCATCAGGCTGATTTAACTATTATGACTGATTATCCACAGTTTGATTCTTTATACACGTGTATGTGGTCTTATGTGTAAAATGCAGTCCTTGAAGCAGCACAGCTGGAAAATGTCTCTGAAATTACCCATCAAATGAGTCGGTGGTTGATGTTAACTTAACGTTTGTTCCGAGTTTGCCATTTATTTGTTGCTTCAGTCTCCATGAGAAAAGAACGTGTGAACAGCCCAGGACTGCACCTTCCCTCGCCCAAACACACAGTAGAATATTGCTCCTAACAGGTTGATGGTAGCTGCGATGTAGAAGACCGTCTGCCACTCTTCTATGGTGTTCTAGACAAAATTGAACACAAACATGATGAAATATCTATAAAAATATTTTTTTGATACAATTCAGACTCTGCAGACACATAAATGGGGTAGTGGGGTTTGGGAACACAAGTGATCCTCGGGTCTACGATGTCCAGTGCTTTAGACCCTGGTAGGGTCAAAATGGGTGTCACAGGAGGGGTCAGTCTAAGAGTGACTCAAAAACCTTGATGAATAAACATTCAGGCTTCCCAGAAACTCTGGAAATCAGGAAAAACCTGGAAAAAGACTTTCACATTTTCCAGACAGGAAATACTGGGAATTTGGCCAAAATAAATAAATCAGGGACAACTGGGGGAATCTGAACACTGATCTGCTGATAAAAGTTGATCTTTATGAAATGTTACCATGTACATGTATTAATGCTAATATTCTAATATCAATGAGTTTATGCTCTGCTTCTACACTGAGCTGCACATAACCAACACCATGTTCAAGCATAGGGTGGTCCACAAGTATACTTGGTACAAGTCCACCTTAGGCAAAAGGCTGATAAGTGATTCTGTAATTGTGACTTCATTCAAACCTGCAGCCCATTAACATGTTTTTGTGTTTCTTCCAATAGAACATACACCTGCACCTACATCTGGACCTGCCATTCTGTGTTTGTTTGTTCCTCCTTCCTGTCCTCCCAAACCCAGCCAGTTAAGAAGATGGCTGCTCATCCTGAGTCTGGTTCTGCTGGAGGTTTCTTCCTGTTAAAAGAGAGTTTTTCCTTTCCACTGTTGCCTTTGTGCTCGCTCAGGACGGGAGACTGTGACAAAGTAAAGATTCAACACGTCTGCTGGTTTCCTTCCTTAGGTACAGAACTTATCCTAATTGGCTTTTGTCTGCATGTGAATATTCCTGTTCAGTGCCCTGAGATAACTTTTGTTGTGACTTGGCACTATATAAATCAACTGAACTGAACTGAAGATGGATGGATGAACAGATGGACGAGCAAAACGTAAAACTATGTTTGAAACTGAATCTAAACTATTCTAAATGTCTCGTGTATTTTTATTGTGACTGGATAAATAAAATCTAAACTTGAAAACAACATACAAAGCAGATCCTGTAAATGAAAATATAATGTCATGCTTGTCATGTCATGTTTGTTGTTGTTTTTTTTTTTCCTAAAAATGTATTAAATTTATAAAATTATAGTAGAAACAATGGAGCTGGGTGCAGCAGTTGTTCTGTCTGGCCACTAACGGCCCATGGCAGCTATTTGATAAAATAACATGACTAATCAAACCCATTAGAACAGAAAGTTGTGTCAGTTTTAGCAGGAAAAAAATAGGACACAAAAACTTCTGCCTGTGCTGCAGCACAATACATTACAGTTTTCTGTTTTTATACAGACACTCAGTCATTTGAAACTTGAAGTCTAGAATAAAAATGTTGTTTTATTTAGAGTGTGAGTGTTAATAAATTTCTTACATTTTTGGTGAGGGCTCTTGCTATGATTGGTCCAACCATGCCAGGAATAGTAGCAAACGTGTTCGTAATCCCCAGCAGAATACCAGCATACCTGTGAAGATAAATGCATTCAAGTCCTGAATGTTTAGAACAAAAGCTTCAAATTTAAATATAAATGAATTTACAACAGATGGCTAAAAGAATTATAAAAATGTGCTTTTTAAAAATGTATTTTAAAGTTTTATGCATTAATTGTCACCACTTGACCCCAAAAATATTCCCAACCCATTTTTTTTTTTTTTTATATAAAAGCAGAACCTCAAAACTTAAATCAATGTATTAATTGGTTATGGAAGATAATTATTTTTGTTGAAATAATTTCAAAAGCTTATCTATTCAGGTAGAATAGAGACAAAGGAGTTGTACTTACGAAGGAGCAATGTCGAGGTGGTTGATGTTGAAGCCAGAAGCTGACATTCCACCCAGAGACGAGGAGATTGTGAGGAAGGTCACAGCTAATTTGTAATTACAGCCAGTAAAACCTGCAGCCACCAGGAACGCTGCTGGTCCAATCATACCTGCAGAAACAACACAAGATGAACATTTATCCATCTGAAACAAAACATGTGGCATCTTTGAAAGTGAAACCAGCCTCATCTTTACCGATGAGAGAGAAGCCCTTCCTAACAAGGACGGTCGAGTAAAGGCAAGTTTCTCGCAGATAATCAGCAACTTGGCCGCTCAGCACAGCCAACAGAGCACAGCCCACGTATGGCAAAGCTGACAGAAATCCATTCTGTGGTGGACAAAAGACACACAACTGAGTAAATATCACTGACTTTGTGTTGCCTTCTTTTGGAATTATTCATTTGACATATTAAGTACTTTAAAATGTGTAATTGGGTTCTCTACTTGGGTTTACAGTAGTCCCTCGCTACTTCACGGTCTCGCTCTATCACGGTTTGTGGACGTACAGTCTATAATATTGTACAAAAATAAAATATAATTGTACAGGACACGATTGTTAACTTTAATATTACTCGTGATTGGGACAGTACTGGATACAGAACTGTCCAGTAAAAAGTTAATGAAAAAATAAAACATTTCTGACAGGTGCCATCATTTTGTAGTTTTCTCTCAGTTAGCCTCCACTGTATTCCCGTTCACAACGACCACATTTCCCAGAAGGCAACAGGGCCCAGCCCAGAAGTCCCGTTTCCTTCTGCTGAAAAAGCTAAAGGTGAAGCTTTAATGTGATCGGCGCCCAGCAGATGCAGAGAAGCCCCACTGAACCGGACCAGAACCAGACTCCAGATCCATCGGTGAATCTTGAGGGCTGGTAGACCGCCCATGTGGACCTCTGAGCGAATGCACGTGGCCGAAGGTCTGGTGCTCCATTTGAAACTCAACAGGACATTTTTCCATCTTTTTCAAGTGGCCAACGACAAGGATCTCTGAGCAGGGACAAGCTAGTAAGTAAAGTTTAGTAGCTACATATTAGTATGTTGTTAAAATTAGTAGATTTAAGAGTTTAGAATGTTGGAAGAGTGTGGGAACGGTTTCTAAAGCCTTAAAATATATATAAATACTGAAATAAATACAGCGACCCTACGTCACGTTTTTTCACTTGTGTTACGTTTTCACCCGTGATAAACGAGGGACTACTGTATTAGCAAATCTCTCATTGCGTTTATGAAACGGCATAATAGCACTGGTCTCGCCTGCTGTATGCTGAATCCCAGTATGTCATTCATGTAGGTTGGAAGCAGGGTGAGGAGTGTGTAGAAGGTCCAGTTGTAGGAGAAGTGAGCCACAACGATGGCCCACAACGGCTTTGATGTAACGATGGCTCGCCAAGGAATGTTGCCTGCTGACGTGGACAGCTGAAGAAAAGCAGGAAAAAAACACACACTAAAAGTTACTTTGGAAATTCTTGTTAAAAGGTTTTGGCAAAAAAAGGTATGAAACGTTAGGGCTTTTATTACAGTTTACAGCTGCATCTTATCTGTCAGATGAGCATCAAGTGTTGAAAAAGGAAAATATTTTTAAAGAAAAGTTGATTATTCCACTTGCACACATCTCATTTCCTTTCATCCTGCTAAATTAAATTGTCATTATTTTCATTCTGACTCACAAGTGAGCTTTGTCCCCCTCTGCTGGCATTTAATACAACAAAAAAGGTTGACTCATGTCATCTGGACTTCGTTTTTTGTTAAAAAGAAACGTTTCGCCCCTCATCCAAGAGGCTTCGTCAGTCTGAGGCCTAGCCATCTGGTATTACCCAGAAGCCACCCTGACTCTTGTGTTTCAAGCCTGCCTCAGATACCCCTGA